AAAAAAAAAAAAAAAAAAAAAAAAAAAAGGATCCAAATGTACAATAGATAATGTGAAATAGGAAGAAAAGGTGAAAAGGGAAAGGGGAAGGGGAAGTGGGAGGGGTAGGGGAAAGAAAAGAAGATAAAGGAATAAATATGAGAAAACATGGAAACAAAATCTTTATACATAGGGAAGGGGTAGAAGGAGTGAAGGGAGGGCAGGGGAATGGGGAAAAAAATTGAGAAACAAGATACATCATGTAAAGGTACAAGTTCCCAAAGGTGAATATAACTGTATTGTATACCTAAAATGTACCACTAAACTTTATCAAAGGAAAAAAAACATTAATCACTTTTGATGTAAATGTAACCACAAAGAAATGGATTGCTGCAGAAATTAAGAAATGTTCCTTGGCCACTTGACCAGAAAACTGCTTCATTTCTAATTCTGTAAACCATAAAAATGTTTGAACAAAGTTAAATTACAATCACAAGAAACATGGACCTCTCACCTCTTCTGGGAGAGTAATGCTGAGCTCTGCATCAGACTGGCCTATGATCCTCGAGTGGAAGTAACTGCTACACGCTGCCAGCACCGAGCGGTGGGCGCGGAACCGCTGGCCCTCCACCAAGACAGTGATGTCACACAGCACATCCTTCTTCCGCTGCTCATTGAGGCTGAGCAAGATGTTGGTGCTGTGCACCGAAGACTCATAGGCAAACACTGCGTTCTCACTCAGAGACATCCTGCACAGGAAGTGGTGTCGGGAAGTGCAGTGGAAAGCATGCTTCTAATTATCGGCAACCTGTGAAGACACATGTAAGATTTCACTTGAATAAAATCTTGTCTCAGAACGGCTTTTCTCATCATCCGCTTGTTACTTTTTAATTAAGATTTTTTTTTTTGGCTTATGTCTTGTACTGAGTACTCTAAAGAGAACAGTACACAGTATATTAATTACTGTTACTCTATAATTTTGTCAGGAAATTGTTTTAATTTTTCACAAAATAGAAAAAATAGTCATGTCATTACACAACATTCAACACACAAAAATCAGAGCATTCCTATGTACCAATGAACCCACTGAGAGAGCAATCAGGAAAATAATTCCATTCACAGTAGCTTCAAAAAAATCAAATATCTAGGACTCATGCAAGGAGATAAAAGACTTCTGCAACAAAAATTACAGAAAACTGAAGAAACTAAAAGACATCAGAAAATGGAGACTTCCCATATTATTATTGTGAAAATGGCAGTATTACCAAAAGTGATCCACCAATTCCATGCAATCTCTATTAAAATACCAAAAACATTCTTCACAGAACTAGGAAAAGCAATCCTACATTCCCATGGAATCAGAAAATAACCAAAATAGCCCTGAGCACACTTGAGCAGAAGAATAATGTTGGAAGCACAACGCAGTGCAACATTATACTAAAAAGTCACAGTAGCAAAAACAACATGGTACTGCTACAGAAGCAGAAAAGAGACCAACAGAACAGAAGATGTAGAAACAAACATACATCCATCTCCATTTTGTTTTTAACAAACTGGTCAAAACATTTACTGGAGAAAACACAGCCTCTTTGACAAACAGTGCTGAGAAAACTGGATATCCACTTGGAAAAGACTGAAACTAGATCTATATTTCCCACCCTGTATCAAAATCAAAACAAAACGTATTTAAAAACTAGATACAAAATCACAAACTTTGAAACTGCTGGAAGGAAATGTAGAAGAAACACTTGAAGCCATAGGCAAAGACTTCCTGAAGAGGACTCTAACAGCACAGGAGATAAGGTCAAGAATAAACAAATGGGACATCAAATTAAAAGGCTCTGCAAAGCAAAATAAACTAAAGAGTAAAGAAACAACTTACACAAAGAGAGAAAATCTTTGCTAGCTACTCTTCCATTAGAGGATTAATCTCGGGAATTTATAAAGAATTAAAAATAACCTAATTAAAAAAGGAGCAAATGAACTGAACAGCATGTCTCAAAGAAAGTACAAATGGCCAAGAAGTATATGAAAAAAATGCTCAACACTTTTAGCCATTGCAAAAAAGTAAATAACTACTCTGAGATTTCATTTTGCCCCAGTCAGAATGGCTATCATAAAGAGTAAGAAATTAGAGTCATTCATAGGAAAATGGGTACATATTGAGGATAATATTGAGGATATACTCCTAAGTGAAATAAACAAGTCACACATGTACAAATAACGAATAGTTTCTCTGGTGTGAAAACCTATAACGGTACATAAGCTCCTAATGATATAATGGACAATGCGAAATAGAAAAAAAAGGGCTAAAGGTGTAGGAGAAGTGGGAAGGGTAGGGGAAAGGCAATAAGGGAAAAGAAAAAAAAAACATGAAAAAAATGGAAATAAAGTATTTGTAAATAGGGAAGGGAGGAGGGGGTGAAGGGAGGGCAGGGATAAGGGGAAAAAATGAGAACCAAGACCTGTCACGTAAAGGTACAAGATCCCAATGATGAATGTAAGTGTACTGTATACCTAAAATGTACCAATAAACTCAATGAGGGAAAAAAAGAATACAAAATCCAATGAACACTGGCATGGACAAGGGGAAAAATAAACCCTCCTACATTGTTGGTAGGAATATAAACTAGTAGTATAACTACTACAGAAATCAGTATGGAAATTTCTTTAAAAAAATCTAAAAGTAGAAATGCCATTTGATCTAGCCATATCCCCCCCCAAAAAAATAAGGACAGCTTACTATAGTGATACATGTACATCCCTATTTATAGGAGCACAAATCACAGCTAAGCTGTGGAAACAGCCTAGGTGCCCATCAATGCATGAGTGGATTTTTTTAAAATGTAGTATTTACAAAAATAGGAATATTAGTTAGTCATAGAGAAGAATGAAACTGTGTCATTTACAGGAAAATGAATGGAACTAAAGAACAAAAATAATCCAGATTCGCCGAAATAAACAAAAGATGACAGCAAACTCAAAAACAGACTTGTGTAGAGGTGAAAGAAATGGGTGGGGTAGGTAATGGGACTGAAAATGTGCAAGACATTTTTAATGCATATATTAATTTCCCAAAACTTTATGTATATTACTAGCATGTTCTAATAAAAATATTTTTAAAGACCAAGTGTCAATATAAATTAGAATACACACTCATCACTGAAACAAAAATGAAAACAAAAGCCTCCAGAAGAACAACCTAGATTTACTCAATTTACCTCAAACTCAGTTCTAAGCAGCAGTTTTTCTAACTAATTTTATGGAGTTTTGGGGGGATAGAAAGGAAGAACTTTTTGAACCAAGGATTTCTTGGCTCTCTGAAAATGAAAGCAGTTCACCTAAGAAAACACTATGAGCAGATAAGACAGGGCCAGGAATTTTGGGGTGGCATCCCAACCCTGGACTTTAAGATACTTAATGGGTAGGGAAGTCAGGTTGCACTTTGGGAGGGAACTAATGGGCATGCCCAACTTTCCAGTCATGGACAGGTGGCAGGAAGCCTCGCTCCGTGCTTCAATCAGGCGGACACTATTCTACATACACAAGGTAGAGTTCTTCAAGCACCAGAAGAAAATGGCTCACATTTGTCAGCTCACATCTTAGTAATTAGTCGTTTACATACAGCAAGTCTTACTTTGCATTACAATAGGTAGGTAATACTACTTTATCAACAATACTGATTTACCACAGGTAGAAACTCCTAGTTTTCGCAAAATGTTAAAATAAAGTTATTAAAAATACATTTTTAAAATGCATGCTAAAATGTATTAGCCTCCACTCTCAAATTACATAAACATACACATGTATTTTTTGCCAGTATTGTATATGTATATATCTACATACTTCATGACTGTTATGACTGTTAATAATATATAAGTCTAGAACACATGAAATTTGAAAGAAAGAGGTTAAAAGAGAAGATATATCGAATATTTTCTTCTGGTGGCCCATGGTGTGAGGTGTACAGCTCCAAGTGGGGTACACACTGTGACAATCACACAGGTAAATTCCTCACCCATACACCCCCTTACTGTATCACATCCGAGTCACTCCCTTCTGAAACACAAGACACCCTCTAATGGTCAGCTGAGTGAGTGAGAGAAGGTCACTCTTTTCAGATTGACAAAAATGAAAGGAGAAAAATGAATGACTGAGGTTCACAGAAACCAGCCTCAGATCATGGGCAGGTTCCACCTCACAGACAGGCTGTTGCAAATGCATGCGATGCATCTATAAACTCTCTTTTACTTAGTGTTTATTTTTAAAGTCCTCAATATAGCTGAAATGCTAAGCTCCTCAAAAGTAGTCAATGAAAGTAAAATATCTCGCCATGTGGTTAACCTTTACCTAGGTTAAGGATCATAGCCTATCATTTTACTGACTCAGCACATCACATGAAATCACTGTAACTTCAAAATTAAATATAAGAACAAACTCAACTTTTGGGTTATGCTTCTCCAATGAAGTAAGTTCCTATTAGCAATTACTATTTGTAATTGAGTTATTAACACAAGGAATTAGTGTTACAAGCCAGACTCACAGCCATGCCCTGCCCTCCTATGCGCCTGCACCCAGGTCCCGGCTTCTTCCTTCCTGCCGTCTGATTTATGGACCTTTGAAAGTATAATGTTACAACTCCTCATTCTGAACATAGCACAGCCTGGAGACAAGAAGGGGAATCCACAACAACAATTTTTTTTACTGCTCCATTATTCTACTTCCAGTTAGTATTTGCTAAGTGGACAATATAAAGACCCTGCAGTAGTGTGGACAGCAGATATTACTAAAGGATTTATGCTTGAGAATAGGGAAATGAGCCTCATACAGAAATGAGCCAGATCTGAGCTGCAGAAAGATGCCTCTAGACCTTGAATACCTAAATCCTGTTTGAATTCCAAGCTGACTCCAGCAAAACAGCTCTGTCCCTTCCCTAGAGCCGCAGGTGGTTCTCCACCATGCATTTGTGGCCTTCTGCTTTTCATCCTGCCTCCAGCTGAGCCACTCACTAGCTGCCTCAAATTCCAAGGGTCCACAGACTCATTCAGGCAGTTTTCAGGGACAGGTCATGGCTTCCTGGCCAACTTACAGATGCTTGCTGCCCTTTGGCAAGGCACATCTCAAGCTCTAACAGCTGCAGCTGAGACATGCTAGAGAACTCAGTAGTAGAACAGCCACCCAGTCCTCTAAGGAGGATCAGTCTCCTGTTAAGTGGTCTGGACACAGCACACACCATGAATGATGCTACTCACATCAGAAACCTAGAACTCCTGACATCTCCCACAGCCAAGCTCATACATCTGATTCCTTACCATGTCCTGCAGTCCAACGGCACTGCCACAACACTAACCTAAGCTATCAGCCCCTGCCTGCAAAACTGCTGTGCAAAAATGCAAATGCATAGTCATAAAATAAAAACACGAAACAAAGTTTCACATATCAGTATTTTATCTTTACCATTTATCAAGTATTCTAACATCTTCTAGAAAAATGATCCTAGTTGTGATCTATTCAATTTCAAGACCACTAATGGATCCTTGCTCCACATACTGAAAGCAGGCCAGTGGCTAAAAGCTTAGTGTTTAGAATTTTATGCTGTCTGGACTCAAATCCCAGCTCTGACACTTAATAATTATATGACTTTGGCCAAGTTGCTTAACCTTGGCTATGTTTCAGTCCCCTCATCTGTAAAAAGTTTCAATGAGATAACCAGGAAAGTGGGTTTAGTACCAGTGCCTGGTGCACATCAAGCAAAAATTAATATTGCCTAATTATGATGATGACGATGATAATAACCAAGGCCTTATT